TCATCCCCTTCCCAAAGCTGTACCTCATCCAGCTTCTCCAATTTCAGCAAATGGCATCCTCATCCAGTTACTCGAGACACTTTTGAGTCATTCTCAACTCTTCGCTCTCCATCATCCGCAGACACCCAATTCATCAGCAAGTGCTTTTATACTCCAAAATATTCCTTTAATTTACCTACTTCTTTCCTTTTCTGTTATTATCTTAGTCTAAGGAACTGTTATGAACTAATGTCTGTGTGCCCCCAAAATTCATATGTTGAATCCCTAACCTCCAATATGATATTAGGAAGTGGGACCTTTGGGAGGTAATTAGGTTCAGATGAGGTCATGAAATTGGAGCCTCCTTGATGGAGCCTGCTCTTATAAGAGGAGGAGGAGACACAAGAACTTCCTCTCTCTACCCTTTGAGGACACGGCAAGAAGGCAGGCATCTCCAAGGCAGGAAGAGGGCCCCTCATCAGAACCTGACCATGCTGGCACCTGAACTCAGACTTCCCAGCCACCAGGGCTATGAGAAACAAATGCCTATTGATTAAGCCACTCAGTCTGTGGACTACGGTAAAAACCATCACATTTTGCTTAGTTTGTCACAATAATTTCCTTACTGTCTACCAATTTTTTCATTTCTTACCATACCACACAGGTCTCAGACTTCTTAAGAAAACAAATTATGTTTAAGACATGCTCCTGATTAAAACCTTCCTGTATAACTTCCTCCTCATTTTACTGTATATCAATACATAGTATTATCAAGATTATTTTCACTTATTCACACCCACACTAAAATGCACCTACTATTTCTCAGACTCATAGAGCTCTACCCTAGAATTTATCCCTAATGGCTTTATATACTACTAACTAATCAAGGGGCTTTCCTCTTACCTGTCTTTCAAATAATTTATAAAAACATTAAATGGAAATTGTCTCTAGTACTAGAGGATCCCTGAAACTCTTCCATTCTGAGAACTGATGTCTATTCCTGTAGTTCTCTTGCTGATTCAGACAACTGCCTGTTCACTTAAAGGTCCCCAAAGTTACTTATATATTTAGCTGTTTATTAAGGTTTTTTTAAGTAGACTTTGTCAACCTTAAAATAAAAAAGCCTTTGAAAGCAAGAAGCAACAGTATTTATTTGAGATCAATAAGAATAGCCATTTGGGACTCACTGATTCAGGCAGAAGTCCAAGTAGCATTCCGATTAGGAGACAAAGGTAATGGGTATTTATGAGAAGGGGAAAAATTACAATAGAAGCACAGCATTTCTATTAGATAACATATAGTGATGTTAATTCTAAACAATGTTTTTAATTTTCATTCCAGTAGTCAAAATATCTATTTTCTTATTATCTTTGCAATAGTTCCAATTATTTGAGGCATAAGACAAAGATAGTCACTCTGACATGGCAGCTCCGGCTCCATTTTAAAGTGGCTTCGTTTATTTCTTTTTTTGACAACTTTAAGCTATAAACTTTATCAACATATTTTTTTAATCTAAAATATAACCCACTTGTTTTTATTCATCCATATACCTATATATTTCTGAAACCAAACTACTTTTTCTTTCACTTAAGTATTCAAGAATTCTACACTTTTAAAAATCGATCTACCATCCAGAGGGTCGCTAATCTACTATTTTCAGAATTCCCACTGGAATTTTTATTACAGATAAGAGACTAACAAATTGACAGGTTTTCTATATCATCACTGTTAATATTAAGATATTTTGTTTAATGCTTTCCCAACTTCACCCTTAATTTCTTTTAAAATTGAAAATTTCCATTTAGTTCAAAATATTTACCCACATAAAAATTCTTATGAAGCTGTATAATTATTAAGCTGGTAATAGTCAAAATTTTGGCCCTCCTAATATGGAATAGAGAGCACTAAAGACAACTGCAGTTATACAGCCTATATGAAAAACAAAAAGAACACTAAAACATATTGTGTGGTTAGACTAAATTTTCTCTGAAGTCTCTCCCAGCACTAGAATGAAGTTCTATAATAATAATGACAACGGCTGACGTTTATTGAGCACTTATTTGCCTTCTATGTGCCAGGCACTGCACTAGGGATCTTTCATGGGTCACTCAATAAGTCCACAAGCATGTTCCATGAGACACTTCTCTATTTAAACAGCCCTAACATACAAAAAATACAAATGGGACACATCCTTCCTTCCTTTAAAAATTTCTCTCATATAAAGCAAAATGGATATGAAAGGTCCCAAATTGTGGGGCTTGCCTTGTTCCCTAGGATTGGAAGAGGCTGACTCTTGAAGCGCTTCCCTAAAGATTAGACACCTAGAGCTGCTGAGAAGAGCAACAGAAAGCAAAAACCAGAGCCTAGTTGAATAATCCTATTTGCTCCAAAGAATGGCTCCTTGCCAGCCTAATGAAGATGAAGTATCAGGCTCATCAAGAAAGCAGAAGTGATCTCACTACAGATGAAGAGCTACAGAAAAGTTCAAGAGTATTAGTGGAAATCTGATAAACTTGGAAGTCTAAAGGACTTGAGTAAAGCTGGGATCTAAAAGTATATGAGGTGGCCATGCCTAACAAGCAGTTTTGTGACCATGTGCTCATACTTTAGTGTTCCCACTAGACTGCAGGGTTCTTGAGGGCAGAAACCTTTTTTTTTTTTTTTTAATCTACCCATAGGACATAGCATAGTCTAGGATCTGGAATAAAAGAACTTAATAAATATTTAATGAGAAATATTAGTAATTGATCTCCTGGGGAACAATCTATTCCAGTTTGTAGGGTGTGCCTATAAAATCAGAGCTTTCTAAGGTGTGGTCTGGAGACCTCTAGTGGTTATCTGCAGTTCACTAAGAGAAGTCAAAATCTGAAAGAGAATGGGTTGGAAAGGGCCAAACACCATGACACAGTGAAAGGCCAAAGATTAGTGAAACAAGTGAATGCTATGATGGAGTAAAAAACTGAAGTTTAAAAATGAAAGATAAAACAAGTCCAAACAAATAAGAAGATAAAAATGCAATCTATTTAACTGAATGTGATACATCTGAAGGAAAGTAATTGTTTCCTAATTTTTTTATTGTAAAGTATAAATGTAGTTCATAATCCTCGCATAGCATCCAACTAGCTACTTGACAAATTAGATCTCTCAAGTGTTATTCACAGACAATTCTTTGCTTCAAAGCAGAAAGTCCACCCTATAGAAAGTAAAACTAAATGTAGCTTTCTAAAAACAAGATCAACATCAGAGATACCGAGAACAAAATCTTAAACAAAAGTGATTCTCACAATGGCAGAGGTCACCTACTTTTGGTTTAGAACTCTATAGATCACTGCTTAGATCAGTGTTTTTCTATTAATTCAGTTTATAGCTAGTGCTCTGGGAGATGATGATTTGAAACAGTGAGGACATGCACCCAAAATATATTTGTAATCTATTATTCTAATTCTCTCTATAACCAGCCATACAATGGTCTCTAGTAGAACCAGCATATTTGCAAAATACCCACCTTTAAATGCTAAGAAAAATTACAGAGACAATTCAGAAATAGAAGCATTTTGGTTCATCTTTTTCTATTCAGTTTATCTGAATATAATGGTTATAGTCAGTAACTACTTAATAAGCTTTCAATAAAGCACATATATAGGTAATAAACACATGTGTACACTCTCTATTCAGTAACGTTTAAGAGACAAGGCATAATATAAGAACATAAAAAGTGGTGCATAAAGCTACCAAACAATCATGCCTTACATGAGATATGCCAGGAGACACAATATGAACACCTCTGAAGAGCAGCATTCTACACCCCTTCATAGAAATGGGAGCATGGTCTTACATAGTGGCTTTGTGCCTAGGTATAATTTCCATCCATGCCCTTTTAATGGCTCCCCATATTTCCCCTTCCCCATTCTCATTCATCTAGCCAGCTTGGAAGATGGAGGCGGCTGAGGGAAGAAACAGAATCTGCATGAGAATGAATTTCAACGAGAGTGCAGCATAGAAGTTATTTCAGGACCTGTTATTGCATTCCTGGAAAAGTTAAATAGACAGCCAAATGTTTTGCTTTTTCAGAAAGAATCTGGGAGTTCCAATCTTATAGGTTAATAAACATTCATAGGAAAAAAAACCCACATACTATTGGAAAAAATATACAATGATTTATATAACATATATAATTACATTACGGTCACTGGTCCTCACGAACACAATGGTGCCATATGATTTTTCACTTCTTTTTAGATCTTCACAGAACTCAGTCACATTCAAATGTTGAGAAATGGCTTAATAATCATTGGTTTAAAACTTGGAGTATTATAGCAATGTTCTACTGTTTTGATAAAAGAAACAAGCGAGATGGTCTTTTTCAAGCAATAAAGTAGAACTGGCCCCAGAATGTATTTGATTGAATTTGCCCATCCCAAAAGTTAGCCTCAGTATCTTGGGGCAGAATCTTGAACTATGGGCTCCAGAACAAGTCAAGAAAAACTTAGAGAAATCAATGAACCTAACTGATGGTTACTCATTACCACATACAATCTATAATCCTTTTTGGTATGATAAATAATCTTAAGTGAAAAAAAGTTCAAGAAAATATTCTAGAGATATGTTCTCTTACATAGATATTCGTATTATAAATGTGTATAGAAGACCACTATAAAACTAAATTTTACTTCTTTCTCATAAGTCACCTAAGTCAATGTTTGAAATTCTAAGGCCTAATAACTGAAGTATGGACTTTGCCTAGATTCTAATTTTTTTTAAAAAAAGGCTATGTAAAGACAGTTTCTGAGGCATGAGAAATTTGAAATAGACTGGATTTTATAACCCCAAAAATTATTAAAAATGAACCCCATTGTTAATTTTAATTATTGTTATTGTTTGGTGTGATAATGGCACAGTGGTCAT